TGCTTTTGTGTATGTTTGTTTTGTTTTATTTGGCCTTGGGGCCGACCCAGTGGTGCAAGAGGAGTACTCAAAGCTCAGTGCTCAATGCTCATTCCTGAAAGGTCTAGGTGACGAATGGGATGCTGGAGGTCCAAAGGTTTCATCTTGGGTTTTCTGTTTTCTTTGGGGTGGCAGAGCAAGGATTCTTGCAATCATTTCTTGTGCTGCACTCTGGCATTGCCCCTGGCAGTACTTGTGGACCATATGGGATGTTGGGGATCGCCAGTCCTACATGCTGTCCCTGAAGTAGCTGTCCTATTACGCCAAACTGCTGCTTCGGCTTCTTTTGCATCGTTTTTCTCATCAGCTGTCCTCTTGACTCTGTGCTCTGGATTCACAACTGACTGGCGTCAGAGCACCCTGGGGTGTGTTGGCCCCGTTTGCGCCCTGGCAACTACAGTGACTTGGGCCTCCAGATTTGCTTTTCTCCTGTTTTGTCCTTCCTGCGTTGGAGAGACTACCTGCTCGGTCATATAGGCTTAAGTTCACATAATCTTGTGTGTGGAGTTCTGGGCATGTGCTGATCCCAAGGAGAAAGCCAAGGATCTCTGCGGCCAGTAGAGATGTTGGGGTCAAGAAACTTCTAACTTCTTTGAGCGGGATGTGGGGTGGTCCAGTGCAGTGAGTTCCTACAGGCAGACATGCCATGCACTGTTCTGAGTAGTTGTCTATATGGACTCTCGAGTTCTCAATCCTAGTGGTCATGTGCTGTGGGGGTGCAGCGGTGAGCATGCAGTAGTTTTTGCTACACCCAGGGATAGCCTTTTGGATCGTACAAGTCTGTGTTCAGGTGATCCTCTCTACAGTGCTCACTGGAACAGTGGTGCTCGAATTGGCCGGGGGGTTACCAGGAAAGGCAGATACATCCAAGAACCTTCTGTATCACGTTGTCCCACTTTAGCAGATCCAGTTGCCTTATGTGATTTTTGGGGCCCATCAGTCATGCGTGAGCATGGAGGCTGGTTTATTCGGAGTGGAGAGGCCCCGCGACAATATAGGACCCTGGGACCTGGCCTCAGAGTAGTGTGAATGAGGCTAAGATAGATTCTGACTCCCACCCTCTTCGTGTGCTGACTCAGGACACAGTGACCTTCCATGACGTGGCTGTGAACTTCACCCCAGAGGAATGGTTATGCCTGGAGGCCTCTCAGCGGAAGCTCTACAGGGACGTGATGCTGGAGACCTACCAGAATCTGCAGGCTGTCGGTGAGAGCAGTGTGGAGCCAACCATGTCTGAACAGACCTGCGTTGGCTCACTGGGGTTGGGCGGAAGCTGTGTGTCCAACAGTAGCTCTGTGACGGGCGTGCAGTAGCTCTTCCCTCCCTCGTGTTTTTTAGGGTTCAACTGTGGATACTCAGGGCTTACTCTCAGCTTTGTCTTCAGGAATTACTCTTGTGGGGTAGCCGGACCCTATGGGGTGATTCAGATCAACGCGTTTCAACTGTGTCCATGGGAAGATCCCTCTCTGCCCAGTTATCACCCAGGTCCCTTTAAATAGTTCCATCCATTGGTGAATCAATTCACTTTGTGTACTACACGAAATTTTGTGTGTTTAATTGGTTTTGCTGTTGCCTTTGTTTGGGGGGCACAGTCCACAGTTCTCTTGGCTCTGTGCTAAAGGATGACGACTACGAGTGTTCAGGGGCCATATGGAACCGTATATTTAAACCTCTTGGCAAGTTAAACTGTCGCTGCCTCACCCCCAGTACTTTTGCATCAGTCACTCAAGTCAGACGGTTTTTGCATTTTCTTTTTTCCTTAGGGATTAGGAATTATTCCTGCCTGTGTATTCAGGGTCCACACCTGGCCTTGCTCCAAGACCATATGGGCTGCCTGGGATCAAACCCACATGTATGTGCAGCACTTCTGTCTTATCTGCTGTACTATCTCTTTCCCACCACAGGGGATTTGATATTTCATCTCTCAACTCATTAGACGCTGCCCTATTTCAGTGCTTTGATTTACTTCTAATGGTTCTTGTGAGACTTCAGCAGGACTTAGGGGTTGCTTCTGGACTCTGCACTCAGGGATCGCTCCTGGCTGGCATGAGGGACCCTAGGAGATATCGGGTATCACGACTGGATTGTCCGTGAGAAACTCCTGCTGTGCTCTCTTTCTGGATACATTTTTAGCTTAAAAAATAAGGGTATCTTGTCACCCTTGGCCATTTCCAGATTTATTATGCACTTAGTTTTACTGAAGTCCGTGAAAAGTTCATGAGGGGCTGAGGAAACTCCATGTGCTTCTGAACCTAGAGAGATAGTACAGGGATGAAAGTGATTTTCTTGCAAGCGGTGCATGTGGGTTAAATTCCCGGCAACCCATGTCATACCCGAGCACCAGCAGTAGTGATTTCTGAATACAGAGTCAGGAGTCTCCCCTGATCATTGCCAGGTGAGACCCAAAACAAGACAAAAAACAAAAACATACTGTGCTAATCAACCCCCTATCTGCCATACACAAGGCCAGGTCTAGAGTATTTGTGATATTTTCTTGGGTCTTACCTCTCGAATAACTAGAAATATGTGGAATTTTGGAAATGGACATTCTGTTCATGATTTTCAGATAAATGCCCACTTATATCAAGAAAACATGGGCATTTACCTGTCACCTTTTCCCTGTGACTTATCCATGCCTCTGTCTCTGTTGCGACAGGGCACACTGGAATGAAACCTGCAGTGATCTCCTGGCTTGAAGGAGGAGTTTTGAGGTCGGGTAGGAGAGGCGTGTGTGCGGGTGAGTGTCTGAGGACCCTTCCTGGATCAGGCCCTGTGCAGTGTATGGGTGCCCTGAGCATGTGTGAAACATGCTGCTGAGGCCGGGGCCTTGGTGTCCTGTATCCTTGGGTCTGTGCCGCACTCAAGCTGCTCTTCATTTACTTGGATTGTCAATCACAGAATGATCCTGTAATTTGCTTCCATGGCTTTCCAATAAATAAGACCATAACATTGATAGTTTGGATCTAAACGATAGTACAGCAGGGAGCGCCTTGCAGGGCCTGAATGTGACCTGTTCAATAATCTGTTCAATAACCTGGTTCCCCGAACATCACCAGGTCTGCTCAAAAACAAAAACATAACCTAGTGTAGAATTGCCAAGATCCTCACAGTTTTCCACTATCCGAATCTTTTGTTTAGTGTGGGACTCTTTGGACTTTGAGAACCACAGAGATGTACTCTTAACTACATGGCATCATTTTGCTACATATTGTGACATGTGTGACATGTGTGAATTGCATGTTCTCTTCAGTTTCAGAACTGAAACCGCGACTTCAGAATTTGGTATTACAGCACTTTGATTTGGAAATGGGGTCAGCAAGTACGAGTGAGTTGGTAAGATTCACGAATACAGAATAAATATTATGCCAGCAGGAGTGGACCAAGTATGTGATTGTAAAGGTGGAGGGCTGGGATTGGCAGGGATAAATTCCAAAACCTGATGCTTGGAGTAGAGGACTCTTAGCTTTGCTAGGTGCTGACATCAACCGTGTATAAAAATACTGTGAGTTTTTGATTGGCTTGACAGTGGTAGTTGTTTAGAAAGCTAATTTGTGCGCCCTAGAGATGGTGCAGTGAGAAATATACTTGTTTTGCATAGGGATGGATGGTCCTTACCCAGCACGCCTTATAGACAGCATAGACCCACAGAACTGATCCGAGACACTGCATGGTGTGCTCCTCCACCCACCCAACCTCCAATGAATAGACACTACAAAACAGAAAGAAAAAAAACTTTATTGATCCTGAAAGGAATCACTTGTGGTGAGAGCATTGCAATGGCCACGTGATCTGTCTCAGCTGCGTTACGATGCAGCGTAGTCTTCACCCCTGCATCACAGGTTCCACACGGAACTTTAACCAAATCCACATGTGAATCTATTTCATTTTCTCTTGAAATGGATGTGTCCGTTTTCTATAGAAGGAATTATTTCTAGTTGTATTCCTTCATTAAATTAAAAAGGGGGAAAGTCCCAGAATTTACTCTCTATCCATCAATGTTGTGCGTCCAACTTACGGTAACATGAAGTTATTCAATAGTAAGACAATTCATATGTCAGTAATTGCATTTTTGTGGTGCATATGTGTGGAACTACATCTGAAGGGCTCAGTTTTTTGACAGGAAGACTCAGTGTATAAGTCAATAATTAGAATCCTCTGTTGTTCTGCAGGAAAGCTGCCACCCCGAGTGGAATGTCTCTGATCCTGCACTATATGATAATGTCTCGACTGATCAATCCTGCCCTCAGCCCCATGAGGACGATGAGACAGGCGGGATTTCTTCTGAGGGTGATCAGAATGGTGAGAGCTACCTCACTCTGAAGAAGCCCTCTCCTGGAGAAAGTTCCTTGGAGTGTGTTATTCTCAGTTCACAGACACAAAATTCCCCAATGGGGTACCTGCTAGGGAGAGAAGCACTGTTTATAGTTCGTCCCTCACAGCAACATACCCTCAACCACAGTCACCGTGAGCAGAACCCATATAGGTGTAAGGAATGTGGAGGAGCCTCCCCATGTTCTCAGTACTGTGGTGTACCCTTAGAAAACCATAGTGGACAGAATCCCCAGAAATGTCAGCCCCAAGAACAAAGTGTGAGTCAAGGGTTACTCCATCATGACCATATGAATATAAATTCAGGAGCGAAACCTTTTGCATGTGAAACATGTGGGAAGGCCTTTGATCAATCATCACATCTTATGCATAGGAGAATTCATACAGGAGAGAAACCTCATGAATGTCAGACATGTGGGAAGGCCTTCATTCAGACCTCTAGTTTTAATGGACCTATGAAAACTCATAGTGCAGAGAAGCCTTCTATATGTCAGGAGTGTGCTAATGCCTTTACTCGATCCTCAGGCCTCAGTATACATAGAAGTATTCACACTGGAGAGAAACCGTATATATGTAAGGAATGTGGGAAGGCCTTTGCGAAAGCCTCAAGTCTTGGTGTACATAGGAGAATTCACACTGCAGAGAAACAATATATATGTAAGGAATGTGGGAAAGCCTTTGCGAAAGCCTCAAATCTTAGTGTACATAGGAGAATTCACACAGGAGAGAAACCGTATAAATGTAAGGAATGTGGGAAGGCCTTTGCTCAATCCTCAAGCCTTGGTGTACATAGGAGAATTCACACTGGAGAGAAACCGTATACATGTAAGGAATGTGGGAAGGCCTTTGCTGGAGCCTCAGGACTTATTGCACATAGGAGAATTCACACTGGAGTGAAACCATATATGTGTAAGGAATGTGGAAAGGCCTTTGCTTTGGCCTCAAGACTTAGTGAACATTGGAAAATCCACACTGGAGAGAGACCCTATGTTTGTAAGGAATGTGGAAAGGCCTTTATTTTGGCCTCAAAACTTAGTGTACATAGGAGAATTCACACTGGAGAGAAACTGTATATATGTAAGGAATGTGGGAAGTCCTTTGCTGAATCCTCAAAGCTTAGTGTACATAGGAGAATTCACACTGGAGAGAAACCGTATATATGTAAGGAATGTGGGAAGTCCTTTGCTGAATCCTCAAAACTTAGTGTACATAGGAGAATTCACACTGGAGAGAAACCGTATATATGTAAGGAATGTGGGAAGTCCTTTGCTGAATCCTCAAAGCTTAGTGTACATAGGAGAATTCACACTGGAGAGAAACCGTATATATGTAAGGAATGTGGGAAGTCCTTTGCTGAAGCCTCAAGCCTTCGTGTACATAGGAGAATTCACACTGGAGAGAAACCGTATATATGTAAGGAATGTGGGAAGGCCTTTGCTGGAGCCTCAAAACTTACTGTACATAGGAGAATTCACACTGGAGAGAAACCGTATATATGTAAGGAATGTGGAAAGGCCTTTGCTACAGCCTCAAGCCTTAATGTACATAGGAGAATTCACACTGGAGAGAAACCGTATATATGTAATGAATGTGGAAAGGCCTTTGCTTTGGCCTCAAGACTTAGTGAACATTGGAAAATTCACACTGGAGAGAGACCCTATGTTTGTAAGGAATGTGGAAAGGCCTTTATTTTGGCCTCAAGACTTAGTGTACATAGGAGAATTCACACTGGAGAGAAACCGTATATATGTAAGGAATGTGGGAAGTCCTTTGCTGATGCCTCAAGCCTTAGTGTACATAGGAGAATTCACACTGGAGAGAAACCGTATATATGTAAGGAATGTGGGAAGGCCTTTGCTAAATCCTCAAGCCTTACTATACATAGGAGAATTCACACTGGAGAGAAACCGTATATATGTAAGGAATGTGGGAAGTCCTTTGCTGATGCCTCAAGCCTTAGTGTACATAGGAGAATTCACACTGGAGAGAAACCGTATATATGTAAGGAATGTGGGAAGGCCTTTGCTAAATCCTCAAACCTTACTATACATAGGAGAATTCACACTGGAGAGAAACCGTATATATGTAAGGAATGTGGAAAGGCCTTTGCTGGAGCCTCAAGACTTAGTGTACATAGGAGAATTCACACTGGAGATAAACCATAATATATGTAAGGAATGTTGGCGTGGATGTGGCGAGAAAGGGACACTCCTTCACTGTTGGTGGGAATGTCCACTGGTCAGCCCTTCTGGACAACAGTATGGACGATTCTCAAAAAATTAGAAATTGAGCTCCCATTTAACCCAGCAATACCACTCCTGGGAATATATCCCAGAGAAGCAAAAATGTATAGTCGAAGTGACATCTGCACTTGTTTGTTCATTGCAGCACTCTTTACAATAGCCAGAAACTGGAAGAAACCTGAATGCCCAAGAACAGATGACTGGTTAAAGAAACTTTGGTACATCTACACAATGGAGTACTATGTAGCTGTTAGAAAAGATGAAGTCATGAAATTTACATACAAGTGGTACAATATGGAAAGTATCATGCTAAGCGAAATGAGTCAGAAAGAGAGGGATAGACATAGAAAGATTGCATTCATCTGGGGGATATAAAGTAACAAAGTATGAGATTAATACCCAAGAATAGCTGAGATCAGCACCAGGAGGATTACTCCATAACTTAGAGGCCAGCCGGGTATCCTAGAGGAAAGGGCAGTTCAGATAGAGAAGGGAGCACCAAATAAAGGATGTTTGGAGGATCCTCCCAGGAGGGGAGATGCATGTTGAAAGTAGACTATGGACTGAACATGTTTGCCACTCAATGCCTCTTTTGCAGACCACAACACCCAAACGGAGAGAGAGAACACAGGGGATTGTCCTGCCACAGAGGCAGGGGGGGGATGGGGGGATGGGGGTGGGAGGGATATTATCCATGGTGGTGAAAAACGGGCACTGGTGGAGGGATGGGTATCTGATCATTGTATAATTGAAACCCAAGCACAAAAAAAAATTGTAAATGTACAACTGTAAAAAAATAAAAAATAAAAAAGAATAAGCCCTGAGCACAGCCAGCTGTGGATCCCCCCAAAAATTTAAGTAAAATAAAATAAAAATAGAATCTGAAAAAAAAAGGAATGTGGAAAGTCCTTTGCTGAAGCCTCATACCTTTGTGTACATAGGAGAATTCACACTGGAGAGAAACCATATATATGTAAGGAATGCGGAAAGGCCTTTACTTCATCCTCGCAATTGACTATACATAGGAGAATTCACAGTGGAGAGAAACCGTATATATGTAAGGAATGTGGGAAGTACTTTGCTGAAGCTTGCTGATTTTTACCCGGGCTGCACCTATGCCAGTATTCTTGTGCTTGGAACTGCTTGTGTGTTAACTTGTAAATAATGGGTCATGGTGATGAAAATAAGGAGGAAGGTGACTGAATAAACTGAATAAACACCCTCCTGCTCAGAGCTGTAATGGCTCACTACTCTGTTGTTGTTTGCTATGCTTCTGGCTTGGCCCAGTGGGGCTGGTTAGCGGGAATTATGGCAGAAATCAACCAAGATGCAGCATTGAATACTTTGAAAATGGGAAAATAGGTAATCCTTCATTCTTCCGTGTTTCCTGTGTTAGGATTTGGGATGCTTGAGCACCCTGGTTTGGCCACTTGAGCGCCAGATCAAGCCAGCTTGTATGGTGCATTCACGCTTGTTTGTTACTTGTTCTGGATATCCAGGCTTTAGTGGATGTGGAGCTTTTGAGGGGTGCATTGGGTGCTGTTCTGTCACTCAGGTGTCATGGGTGAAGGTGCGTTATCCCGAGGGCCCCTGCAGCCACCATCGATCCAGGTCCAAGACGGCACTGGAGGTTGGGCACATGGACTTCAGGCCTTGGTGTGAGGAGCTTGCAAAGAGTGGAGGTGTTGGTCATCTCATTCCTCCCTACTGGAGACTGTGAAGGACCCTGTTTTGAGCCTTTGGACTGGACCTAACACTTATCGAAACTCCACATATGTTCACAGGCAGCCCCCAAAGGAAAGGGACACTTTTGCCGTCAGTCATTTTCATTGGCTTCAGTGCTGGGTTTGGCACTTTGGGTTTTGTTTAGACAAATGAGAGGTATATGCCTTGAAAATTTACTCTTTGGATTATATATATTTTTTTGTTTTTTGTGTCACACTCAGCGTTTCACATGGGTTTCTCCTGACTTATGCACTCAGGAATTACTCCTGGTAAAGCTCAGGGGACCATATTGTTTCTGGGATTCGAACCCGGGTTGGTCACGTGCAAGTCAAACCTCTTACCCGCTCTGCTATCACTTCAGCCCCTCTTTGGATTAATTTTAATAGCTGCTTTTATTCAAGGCAGTTGGAAGGGATTCTTTGATGCACAAGGTTTACTTCTGGTTGTGCATATCAGGAATTATTCTGTGGTGCTGCTGGGTACCTATCGGATGGGGAGGCTAGCATCCTAGTAGCTTCACAGTGATTCCAACCCCACTATTGGTGTTTTTTTTTTTCCATATATAGAATTTCTACAACCTGGGATTATGGTACCGCCAGCAGGTCAATATGTGCCTGTAAGGCGACTGCATCAGCAGCCTGATGGCACCATCAGACTTCCAGATACTCCAAAATTGATGCTGTGCCTTTGGCCAGACTCCAAAAACTTTGGGCAAAGTCTTCCAAGAAAGTAAACAGCCAATGTTAGGTATGTGCAAGACACACCAACAAACCGTTTCCTGCTCAGCTATATAATTGGAGGCAAGGTCTCTCTGGTTCCTGATCAAACCTCTTAAAGGCTATGATCCCAGAGACTCAGAGATAAATCTCGGAACCCAGCGGCTTTTTGCAGAGATGTGCCCGATACCCACAATGAGCTACCGGCGACAGACCACCACAAGGGGGAAAGGGGGTGTGTCTCCGCCTGATCCCACTTGGTGGCTCAGTGGCCACCATCTTCCAGAGGCCATTGGACAGACAGGTTTGGGCCTGCAGTGACAAGACATGCAAGGCCTCATGGGATTGGGCTGGACTCTGCACTTTCCTCCCCACCTCAATGAGACCCCGAGTCACTGCCCATGTACGAACTCTCTGGCTGATCCCAGAATCTCAGAAACTAATTTCGGAACCCAGTGGCTTTCAGAAGAAATCTGTTCTGTCCCCACAGTAGGTTACCTAAGCTGGGTATTTCAGGTGGGAATAGGTTTTGTGCCTGGCGGCTCAGTGGCCGCCATATATTAGGGTTCTGGACGGTTAGGTTTGGGACTGCAGTGAGGAGACATGCAGGGCCTAATGGGATGGTGGTGGAGGTGGCCCTTTTCCCCCTGCCCCAACGAGACCCCGAGTTGTCTGGCGCCTACGATTGACCTCTATGGCTCGTGATCAAGGTGAGTAATGGACATGATCCCAGAGATTCAGAGACAAATCTCGAAACCCAGTGCCTTTTAGCAGAAAAGCATCTGGACCCTGCAGTAGGTTACTGTCCCAGGTCCACCCCAGGGGGAATTGGTGCTGTCCCGCCAACTGCTCCTCCTTGGCGGCTCGGTGGCCTCCATCCGCCAAAGGCCTTTGGAAAGTCAGGTTTGTGCCCACACTCAGGAAGATACGTGGGGCCTCGCAGGATGGGTGTGGAGCTGGCCAATTCCTCCTCACCCCAACAAGAGCCTAAGTCATTCCCACGAACCGCCTCTCTGGCTCGTGATTAAGCTGTTTAATGGCCATAATCCCAGAGACTCAGGAACAAATCTCGGAACCCAGCAGGTTTTTGCAGAAATTCCTCCAGATTTAGTTGTTAAAATTTCAGAATTCCAAAATCATATGTTATTTATAACCAGCAAATAAAAAAGAATTGTCTACTGTTGCGTTTTCACCAGATCTAACTGCCGGAGTAAAATGCCAAATAATAATGGTGGGTCTTGTGTCAAAATATTGAATGTAATCAAAGTAGAGAAAAGAATTGGAAATTATCTGCCCCACAGGTAGAGGAAGGCTGTGGAATGGCGTTATACTTGGGTTTTTAGTGATGGAAAATGGGCATGGTGAAGGGATGGGTGTTTCATTGTATGACTGAGACTTAAACCTGAAAGCTTTCTAAGGGCTCTTCCATTTTCCCCCGTTTTCTCTCATTTATTTAGAAATGGCCAGAATAATAGTAGAGCAAGTAGGATGCTACCTTGCATGTGGCCAACCCAGGAGTCTTCCAGTCCACAACGTCTTTTCATTGCTTATTGGACATTGAGCGTCCCCTTCTCATTCCTAGAACATGTAATGTGGGGGTGTGGCATGGGGTAGGGGTGTCTTCTCCCCAGAGCTGTTCATTACGGAGAGATCCAGTGCTTTGCTTTCTTGACTTTGTTGTGATTCTTCCCTATCTGTCAGGTATGTCAAGTAGTCCATGTGTTTCAAGGCTCTTGTTTTCCCAGTTGTATAACTGGCCAGATTGTACAACTAATGGGTCGGGTACCCATTCTGGACCCTGCTCAGTCAATCTGACACCATGCATATTTTTGCCTTTGGATCATTGTCATGTTTTTTTGAAAATGGGAAGAAATTGAGTTTTCTTTTGTTATGGGGCCTGGGGATGCTCAACAGTTATTTCTGGTGGTTCTCATAAGTTGCTTTTAGCAGTGTATAAGGATCAAACCCTGTCAGCCTCATGGTAGGCAAATGCCTACCTACTGTACACTTGTAAGCGCTAAAAAATGTTTTATTGTGTGTATGTTAAATTGTGACTGTGAGCCCATAGTGAAGTTAATTAGGACCAGAACAGCAGTGCATCACAGAGGGTACTTGCCTTACGGATGCCGCCTACCTTCGATGTCCAGCATCCCCTTTGGTATCCCAAGCATCACTGGGTCTGATTAAAAACAAAACCCAAAAGGATTTTTTTGGGGATTGCCGAGCTCCTCCCAGCAACACTTCCCGCAGATTTTCCCTTTCTGTAGGCTTGCTTGGACTGTGAGAACTATGGAGATGTCCTCCACCTGTTTGGTCATTCAG